GAATCTTTGAGAAAAATTGAAGCTGAGCTGGAAGCAGAATTGGACAGGTTGGCGTCAAATATGAAGTCGTCCAGCTTGGAAGGGAAATTGTTGAATGCAGCTGAGGTTAGCGTATTCTGCTTCTTATGCTCATTTTATACGGGAAGGTTTATCTATAATTGCATTGTGCTACCATGTTGTGTGCATTCTCTGATAAATTTTTTTCTTCAAATATTTCTGCACGGTTTATTTTAAGTTTCACATGTCGATGAGATTGAAAAATTGACTGGAGATTGAATTTTTTTCTTTCTGGCTGCTAGATTTTTTTTTGGGTAAAATACTTTTTCCAATCCGAACTATCACGGTTTTGGCACATCACCATATGAACTATTTTTTTTTACAAACCACCATATGAACTATACGGGTTTGTCAATATGCCCCCTAAACCGGATATAAAAGTGGTTTAGGGGGCACATTGACAAACCCGTGATAGTTCATATGGTGGTTTGTAAAAGTATTTAGGGGGCACATATGGTGACCAAACAGTTTTTTCAGTCAAAACCACTTTTATATCTGGTTTAGGGGGCACATTGACAAACTTGTATAGTTCATATGGTGGTTTGTAAAAAAAAATAGTTTATATGGTGATGCGCCAAAACCGTAATAGTTTACCCTTTTTTTTTCATATTTGCAACTGGTTTTATTTTTATGCAAGTATCGACCTTTTTTCTCAACTGTTTTTCAATTGACAAATGCAACGGCTAAAAGAAGATAATCTTGAAATCGGCGTGGCTTGTGATAATCTTGCTAGTAAATAGAGTATTTTGATTTTTCCCCATGTGGGCCAAAATTTAGTTTTGATCAATGCCAGAAAAAGGGAACAAACTGAACATTCCCATTTCTCTTAACTGCTTTTCAATTGACAAATGCAACTTCTTAAAGAAGAAGATAATCTTGAAATTGGTGTGGCTGGTGATAATCTTGCTAGTAAATAGAGTATTTTGATTTTCCCATGTGTGACAAAATTTAGTTTCGATCAATGCCAGAAAAGTGAATAATGAACAAATTCCATTTCTCTCAAAAACATAAAATTTCTACGCACCGAGATTGTTTTATTCAATTTACAGTTTACACCTAATTGCAGCAGCTCGACTCAGATCTTCGGCCCGAGTTTTTCGGCACCAAACCCGGTTTTCAACCTAATGCTGCTCGGGACTCGACCAGCGGCTACTCCTCCCCCACTGCTACCACTCCCTACTCAGTCCACTACCCGGTTTCCCCCCGAGACCTTAGCCTTCGTCTACATCAAGTCATCCAGTCGAGACTCGAGGATCGTGTAAGAGAACTCGAGACAGCTCTCGAGCAAAGCCGGAAAATAATCAATCGGCAATCCAAGAACAATAACCCACGTGAAAGTGAAAGCCCGTTTTCTTCAGCAGAAATAATACGGCATGTGGACCAGCCCGTGGTCATAAATCTTTCAGGGGAGGCCCTAAGCGCGTACAACGAGGCGTATGATGAACTGGCAAAGCTGTCTGAATCGGACAATGCCAGCTTGGACAATTATGCTGAGCTGTGTTCGGATAAAATGACGGTGTCTGGTGCTGACCTGTTGTATGATGGGAGTGAAGATGAGATGGAGAGGCTGTTGATAAGGCAGATTGTGGAGAAGGCGCGGCAAGGCTCGCCTGCGGTTTTGAAGGCGCAAAGGGATTTGTTTTGCAGTTAAGAGTGATGAATGCTGAACCTGCAAATGAATGGGATTTGTGTTAGGAGTGTGAGTTTTTGTCGGGTGTTTTGAGGTTTTTAAATTGTTTGGTGATCATGTTGGTAGAAAAAGAAAAAATTCTTCTTGTTGCATTAGGTTGAAGAGGAAAAGAGAAAGAAGGGCTATCGGGGCCTTAGTTTTTGATCATGTAATGTTTACAACAAGTGAATTTGCTAGTGAAATTGAGAGGGTATGATGACTGTTAATCGAACCTAGTTGTTCACTAATATGTTTAGGTTAAGCTCGTTGCTTAGTTAAACATGCAGAGAAAGTTCTAACAAATAATAGGAGCTCGTTTATTAAACAAACGTACCAGTCGGGCTTG